AAAAAAACCATGGAAACAAGAGTTGTGAGTTCGCATCAGTCATGTGAAGTGAGTGCCGTTCTGATGAATTGAAAAGCTCTCAATGAATTTGCCATGAAATTCCGCAGTGAAGATTTTCCTCCCGTCTGAAAATGCTGGAAAAAAAACTGAAATCCTGAAACTGGGATCCCTGAATTAATTCTTTGACATCTCTATCTAAAAGTGCAACCAAGTCTTCCCAGAGAACTAGTGGAGTAGGCAAGCATTAGTGAGTCCAGCTCAGCAGGTGCTGAAACCATTGACAACCTCAAAAAGAACCCTAAGGTGCCTGATTCCAGGTAAATCTCATACATAAACATTGTGTTGCCCCTAATATATACACAAATGTGTGTGCTGTTTTGTGCACTGAGGACTAAATAAAACTTCTGTAATAGTAACTGCATTGTGGGATTAAGATTACTGCAGAGGACAGAGGGAGGACACTAGAAAACACTGCTGGGTGAGCATACATTATATAAAATATACCAAACCACAGACAGCTGCTTGTGCTTTGCTACCTTTACATCAGTGGTTAGTATTCCTGCTTGCTGATTCATCAAATCAAACAAATCACTACCTGTTTTCTGTCCTCCTTGGTGGGAGGTGAGATATTGACAGATGGCTCTCTTGAGAGCTACTTTCTCATATGTAAAATTAGAAATGTATTCAATAATTGCCTTTTTTCAAGCATATATTGGCTAACACAGGGTGGGCTTTACCTACACACATATATTCATCAGAGCAATGAGTTTTAAATCATTTTGTCCTCATTTCTTGATGAAGGTGTTTCATGAACACCAGCTGTTTCAACAAGCATGTATTTAGAAACACTATACACCAGTAAAAGATCATCTACAGCTTCCCCTACCAGCAGAACAGAAGTTTAGAAGGGTTTGTTTTGCATGCAATCAATGAGAAAGTCTGTACATTGGCCTGTGCCTAAGTAGTGGCCATGGTAGGTCTGCACAGGCAGTGATACAGCTACATTGGCAGTGCTTAGTGTTGGGATATCAGTTCAAGGCAGAGAAGCCTGGGCAAGGAACTGGGGCTTTGGCAATGTAAAGAGTTTGGACTGAAGTGTATTCAAGGCTAGAAGTGGTCAAAACAATGAAAGCATTGCGAGGGTCTCACATTTTATGGCCTTTTATTCCCTCCAGCAAGTGAAATGGTTGCATTCCTCCATCCCATCCCTTCAACAACAGCTATTCTTTTCTCTTTTGAGAATAGTGCTTTTAAAAATTCAAAATCAAGTTCCCTGTGCTCTGTTTCCAACCTGCTGTGTAGTGTTAACTGGAGTCATTACAGCAGAAGCTGTACTTGGGGTCAGCCAGGAACTTAAAGAGGCTCTTTATCAGGTTTTGTGGGACAAAATGAATGAGCTGACTGTGTGTGTGCTCTGCATCCCCTTGACTGGAAGCTAAATATGGTAGATCAAAGCTGCCTTCAGCCTGTCAAGATCCAAATTTCTAATGAGCATTAAATATCATGGACAATGACATAGTACTGTGGTACACTACACAAAGGTGTGAACAGTAACAATGAAGTTGGTGTCAACAGGGTTGCAAGCAGGATCTGGACATGGTCATATTCACATCCTTTGGTTGCAACAGGGTGGCATATTCCTTAAACGAGTATCAGCAATACATTGGTAACAATTAGAGATTCAAATCAGCATACTCTGGTTTTAGTAATTCTGTAACAATAAGGAAGCCTGGCATATGGTAGTGTTGCTTCTCTCCTTCATATGTATATACAGCTGCAGTTGGTGCTGGTGGGAATGAAAAATCCGAAGTGAAGGCAGAGGAGTCCCATTGTTTTGATCAGTTCAGTAGTCTTATATAAAAGCTCTGTGGCCATCATCCCAGGATTGTTTGTCAGCCTCTGAACCATATTCTTCCTTAAGGAATCATGACTAAATTTGGCTTTCTGTGTTCTCTGTCACAGAGGTCTTTGTACAGCTTAAAGAATGGTTTGTAGCTGATACCACTTGCAGCATGACAGATGCATGGAGTGTTAAGTTAGGAAGTCTTTGCTTTATTTGTGTATCATCTACAGCGAAGAATAAAGAACAGGAGAAAGTGGTTATGTTCTGATTGATTGATTGATTTACTTATTTTTCTCTCAGGGAAAACATGAACCTAAGCTACTCTGTGATACTTCACTCCTACCAGTATATATTCTTATCTGTCAATTAAAGATAATGTTCACTGTCACATTTATAGTGTGCACTGAATCATAAGGAAAGTAATATTCTTCTTTGAAGTAATGAAGTGAATTAAATGCTCTCTGTGAGGTTGGAAGTATCTTTCATTTTATGATCTCTTCAAGTTCAGAAGTCTTAGCAATTCAGTTGTTTGGGCTGTTTCTAGGAAGGTTTTTTTCCTCATCTGTGATTAATAGATTGAGCTGTGGAAGCTAATTGCCTAAAAGTAGGCACCGCTCTTCAGTGTGCGTTTTGTTGCAGAATTGAGTCTGTGGATGTGATGTCTCAGTTTTGTCAAGGTAATGGAGCTGTAGGTCTGGAAATGCATTTAGCTTTTCTGGGTTGTGGTCTAGAGTTTCTCATCTGTTGTAAAAAAACAATTTAACCCTTTCACGTCCTGTGTGAATAAACTCTGGTGTGAATAAAATAAGGAATAAAAGATGCTCTTCCTTAAATCTTTAACTTCCACTTTAAAATAGCAGAGATAGCAAACCAGAATGATAAAATGCTTGGTTCTTAAGGCAGGTTTCTATGCTTAATTATACTTAAGGAAGTGAAGTATTCATGTCAAATGAACATGAAGCTAGGAAAATCAAACAAGTAAAACTTGCACGAAAACATGATGTGTGCAGCACAACTTTGTGCAACACTGAAAGAAACCCTCATGGCTTGAGGTAAAGACAGTTTAGTTAAGAAAAAGCAAAGGCCATGTGCAGGAGGAAAGAGGGGGAGAAACCAATTACAATTTTATTCCCTACTTGCCACCAGCAGGTGATGGGCAGCCGCGTTGTGGGAAGCCGGACCTCAGCTATGTATAGGAGTTGCTTTGAAAGACCAACCCCTTAATAACAAATGCCCCACCCTGCCCTCCTTTCTCTTAGCTTTTATTGCTGAGCATGACATTGTATGGTATGGAGTATCACAGACTGGTTTGGGTTGGAAGGGACCTTAAAGCTCATCCAGCTCCAGCCCCCTGCCATGGGTAGGGACACCTTCCACTAGAGCAGGTTGCTCCAAGCCACTGTGTCCAATCTGGCCTTGAACACTGCCAGGGATGGGGCAGCCACAGCTTCTCTGGGCACCCTGTGCCAGCGCCTCAGCACCCTCACAGGGAAGAACTTCTGCCTAAGAGCTCATCTCAGTCTCCCCTCTGTCAGGTTAAAGCCATTCCCCTTGTCCTGTCCCTAAATACCTGTGTAAAAAGTCCCTCTCAAGATGGGTTGTAGGCCCCCTTTAGGTATTGGAAGACTGTTATAAGGTCTTTGGTCAGTTCAGGTCAATTATCCTGGCTGTGTTCCCTCCCAGCCTCTCGTCCATCCCCAGCCTACTGGTCTTTGGCGAGTGTTGAAGGCACAGCCATGATGCTGTGTGAGCTCCACTCAGTGATAGCCAAAGCATCAGTGGGTTTATCAACACCATTCTAGCTACAGATACAAAGCACAGCAGTACATGGGCTGCCGTGGGGAAGTTAACTCCATCCCAGTCAGACCCAGTAAAGTATGAGAGGATAGTGCAAAGCTCTAGCCTAGTTTTACCTCGAAATGGTCTTTCGTAACTGTTTTGATGAAATATTATGGTGGAGTGGGGACAGATGTGGTGTTGATATCACTGTGGCTAGTTAAGGTCAGCTCTTGTTATCACCTCCGCCAAGGCTTACATGGCTTAGCTCCAGGTAAGTAAAACTGCAGAGCTTCATTCCTGTATTAAAATACTTCTTACTATTTATGCTGTATTAGCTGAGGTGATTTGGGAGCTGTCAGCTGCATAAAAAGAAGCGTGACCAGCACGTCAGGGGAGGTGACTCTCCTTCTATAGTCCACTCTCATGAGTACTCTCACCTGGAGTATGGGTTCCAGCTCTGGGGACCCCAGCACAGGTAAGAAGTGGACCTGCTAAGACAGATCCAGAGGAGGACCATGAAAATGATCAGAGGGATGGAACAGCTCTTCTGAATGAGTTGGGATGCTTCAGCCTGAGGAAGGGAAAGCGCTGGGGATATTGTATTGCAGCTCTGCAGCCCTTTCAATACTTCAAGGGAACTTCATAAGAGAGACTGATGGAGACTTTTTATCTAGGCCTGCAGTCACAAGAAAAGGGGCAATGGTTTTAAACTGACAAAGAGGAGATTTAGATTGGACCTCAGGAAAATATTCTTTAGGGAAGTGGTGAGGCGCTGGCACAGGGCGCCCAGAGAAGCTGTGGCTGCCTCATCCCTGGCAGTGCTCATGGCCAGCTTGGACGGGGCTTGGAGCAAGCTGCTCTAGAGGAAGGCGTCCCTGCCCATGGCAGGGGGTTGGAAGTGGATGAGCTTTAAGGTCCCTTCCAACCCAAACTAGTGTGGGATTTTCAGAAATGACCATTTCAACAACTTGTGAAATCAGTGTGGTCTTTATCCTTTTTGAGAGAAAAAAAGATAAAGGATGGGGAGCAGGTTTTAATTTGGCAATTGTAAAAAATGGTGACTTCTACTGTTGTTTTCTACTATTGTTTTAGGGTCATTCCTTGCAGCCCTGCTCACCCCTGTGTCAGACCAGCTCTGGACTCCATGGGCTGCCCAAACAGCCCAGCCACCTGCCCTGTTGGCCATAGCTACAAGTCTTTTTCATATTATTATTCCACAGCAAAATCCAGCATAACCATGTAGGCAGCTCCTGTAAAATTTTGAACTAAAAGTAGTATTTAGGATGGGAAAGACTAACTGAAGAGGTTATATTTGCCCATGTTATTTTTTCAATAGTTTTTAATAAGAGAGATATCTTTCAGGTTTTATCTTTTTTACTTTTTCTTTCCCTCCCTCTTTTTCCCTTCTTCAAAAACTACTTTGACGTCCTTCAGTATGATAAAAGCTGGACCACATCCATCTTTAGAGGAGTGGTGGGAGGCTGCATGGGCTGGGGTTGGGTCAATTTATTGCTCAGGCTTTTAAGTGGAACTGGAGGAAACTGTGAAATGGAGATTGCAAGGAGAGGTGAGCAATACATTATTTTCTTTCCTTTACGATTACTGTTTCAGCTGCAGGGTATAAAAACATGTTGAACAAAAAAAACCCAGTGTAACTTAGTTTTTAATGATTTCAGATAATCCTTTCTCTGCATGTGAAGGTAAAATAAAATGTCAATGACTCTTCTGTGTTTAACAAAAAATACATCTTTGAACCTTTTGTTCAACACTCCCTTATTTGTTTGTTGTGGTTTCCCAAGGCTATTGTGCATTAACAATATCTGCATTGTGCAACTGCTTGCAGATCCTGTTATTATGCCACACATCTGTGGGACTGGAAGGACAGCTCAGGTTGCAGTGAGATGCGTTTTCCCTGTGTTCAAGTGATTCTAGAGATAGGGAGTGAAGGATGGTGGGGGAATGGAGCTGTGAAGTGTTTGAACTGTGAGGATGTGCACTGAAAATGACAATGAATGTTTAGAACACCAGAACCCTGTTAGGGTCACATCCATTACAGTAATGTCAGGTATTTACTTTCAGACAACTTAGATAAGAGGTTTTGTCAAGCTCAGTTTTCAGTATTTATAATGAGAGCAGCTAATGGAGGAAAGAGGAGGTGCTGCTATGGACCCTTTAGCTTACAGACCTTGGCATGTAAACTCAAAGCTTAGAACTACTCAGATAAACAAGTTTAAGTGGTTATTCATTGTTTAGAGACTTTGGAAAAATACTGGAAGTTTTCTAGGGAGTAGAGAAACACAGACACTTACAGAAAACAATCAACCCTTAGGTATTTCTGTAGATAGTCAATGACAGGCAGAACAGGTAAGTGTCCAGATCCTGGAAAAGTTAATGGGAATTGGATGTTTCATTGCTTTTACCTCCAGAATTATTTCTTGTGAACCTATTATCTACCAAAATGAGTTGCATTTGGATGTTTCTCTTCCTTGCATGCTGCCTCCCCCTCTCCCTTATTGTTTCGGAGGACATAGACCATCACAGCCTGCAGCTGAAGTACAGTTTCTTTGCTAGCTATAAACTACTGTGCACTTCTGGTGGAAGAAACAGCAAAGTAGATGGCAGGTGAATTTGAAGCTTTGAGGCCATAGTCTTCATATTTCATGATATGTGATTCCACAGCAGCGGGGGTGGAACTAAATGATCTTAAGGTCCTTTCCAACCCTAACCATTCTATGACCACACTGTCTAGATCATTATTTGGCTGGCTGGGTTTTGAACTTCAGCAGAAGGTAGCTTTGGGTTCAAAGGAGAAAATAGAGTCTACTGTTGCTATAAATTTCTGCTCATAAGCTGAACTGTGATTTCAGTGTAGCACACTACTGCTTCCACTGGAGCTTGTAGGAGCAGGATCAAGGACAGGCAATTCATAACCTCTTGAGGTACACTCCTGTGGTCACATCTGGTGGAAGAGACCATCTTTCTGACATCCAACCAGTGGTTCCAGCTCTTGGTTTGCCTCCCTATTCTGTACACTGGTAGACTTACTGGTGAAATAGATGAGGGCCATGACCCTGACTGACTACTCTTCTCCCCCAGTCTTCTAGCAGCTGTTTTTAATATGGATCACTTCCCTGCTGTGACAAAGCACAATGTAGGAGGTGGTAAGCTCTGGCACAGAGGTGGGAAAGACGTGGGAGTGGGAATACTTTGTGGCCAGAAACCTCAGCTCTTCAGTTGATTTTTAATGGGCATCTTTAACCATGTGTAGACACTGGAAAGCAGGAGTAAACAGGTTATGACTACATGACAATGATCTTCTGTACTGCTAAGCCACAGCTGGGGGTCACACGCTGCTGGGCTAAGCATGAATGTGCTCAGTGCAGCAATGTGATGAGTCTTTGCTGGCCAGGCAGTTGTCAGTGAGGCAAGGAGGTGCTGCCCACCATTGTCTCTTGGGGTAGGTCTCTGAGGGTTTTATACCTCCTCGTTCTGTTATTTTTTGAGCCCTCGAGTGACCATTTCTAATGCCACAATTTCTTTCACATACTACTTACTTAACTCAGAGTATTGCTTCATATTATAACAATTAGAGTAACTAGAGCCAGTGTTTCTTCATCCAAAAGCATATTTTTGTGACTAAAGGTATTTTAGCATGTCCCAAAGCAGAAGGCTTTTGTGAATGCATGAGAAAAATGGAGTGAACCCAACATTCCTGCCTTAACACTGGTTAATCCATTAACAATGATTCGGAGAAAACTCCAGGAACAAACTTGCCAACAGAATTTCAAGTTGACAAGCAGGTATTCTTTATCGCGGCGCCGGGAGACGCGGGGGATAGTTCCTCCTAACGTGTGTCCCCGAATTGCTCTACAGGTCATCCTTACATGGTCACTGAGCATATTACATCATTTTCCAAAAGGTTTCCGGCATGCATACAAAATGTGGTGGTCTTTAAGGGTCGTTTACTTTTCCCAACAAGCTTAATTAACATTACAGACATGGCAATCATCCTGCCCTTCTACTTACCAGTTAGTTTAACTGCTCTCATCCTGGGCATCTGCTAGTCCGGGATACTCCCCGTGCCAGGTCCTGTCCTTCTATTCTGCTTTTCTCACACCTTTTGTACTGAGGCCCTGAGGGCCTGAAACTATGTCAACTACCTCCAAGCACCGCAGTTACTTTCCATTACAAAGCCATCAAACTTAACATTACTTAGAACTGATTACATTTTGTACTTCTGTGCCTCCTTGTCTCAACAGAAATCTCTTATATTTACCTGCACTTTTGTGTGTGCTTGGATCCAAAGAGGTTCAAAACTGATGCTGCTGGGACCTGTGGGGTTTGTGTGTTGATTACTTTTAATAGCTTGTTTACTGTTATGAAAAGGTTTCTTTATTGGTTTGTTACTGTCTCCCTAAATAGTGGACCCAGAACCTTTTTACACATGAAGGCAACAAGTTCATTCTTGGCAATTGCAAAAGTTCACTGAGCTTTACAAAGAGTGGTTTGTTCTTTATCTCCCTGTGTGCACAACCTTTTAGCCTCTTGCAAGAAGAGAGGAAAAGATCACAAGAAAAGCTGAGGTGGGTTTGACCTCTTTGCAGTCTCATGTCCTGCGCTAGCTCTAAGCCTTTTTGGCTCAGGCCCTGGCCTTTCCCTTGACACATCTGATGGCATGACAAGTGTGATAATTACTGTGAAAAGAAAGTGAAGCTGTGGCATTAGTAGGGTCATTTGGACTGGGAGGAAAGTGGATTTATGAAAAGGAGGTATGTTCCTTCCTCTTCCTTCTACCTTGAAAGAGCTCAAGCACTGTCCTTTCACATTTATTATCTTTGCAGTGTACCTGCTTGCTGCCGGCTGGCTGGCTGCTCCCTCAGAGCAGCCAAAGCAGGAGCTGTGCGTGACCCTGGCACATGGCTCACCCATGGGTGCTGTCCTGCACCTGCCTGAACCAAGTGGGAAAACCAGAGGCTGGTAATGAGTGAGGAGCCTGGTCCAAGCTCTGGCTGGAGGCAGCAGATGATGCAGCTGGAGAGAAGGCTGCAGCAGGGGTCCCAGGTCCATCTGGGAAGCAGGGCTGGAGATGACCTGGAGTATCCACACATGAGCTACTTATAGTGGAGGGCTGAGGCTCATCCAAGAGGTAGGAGCAGAGCTGGGCTACCTAAAACAAAGCTCAGGCTGGGGCCCTGGGTACAGGGTGTAGGGAAAGGTCCCAGGTGAGGCTGGTCGGAGCTGTTAAGACCTTTTAGTGCCCATGGAATCCTGGTGCTCTGTAACTTCATCAGGCCTTTGTCCTCTCATGAGCTTTGGGAGGATGCAGTCCTTTGAGTTTACTAAAGCAGCTTCAAATGATTTCCCTCCCCCCGCCCCCGAGGAAGACAAGCCTTGCTAGGTTTAACAGTGATAGATGGAAAATGCATTTATCATCTGATTACTAAATTCTGGCCTTGTTAGAGGCATTCAACTTGATTAATTATGAGGAGCAGTGTTAATTATTCTGTCTCTTAGCTGAGAGCTCCTAGAGGTAGCTCAGGTCTGATGCTCCAGCCCCAAGGTGTAATGAGATACACAGCAAGGTGTCACAGACTTTTGAGTTGAAGTTGCACACAAGGCTGTGCCATGGGCATTTCTGGGCTTTCTCTGAGAGGACAGCAGAGGTCTGAGTGGATTATCCTTCAGGAGTTTTTATGTAGCGAAGACACTCCAAAGCAGTGATGTGAATGCAAAACTGATTTAGGTAAGGATGCAGTTGGATCAGCTGATGGGATCTTCCAGCCTTCTACTACTGAAAGGAGATGGTCCTGCTTCCCTCTTGCATTATCTCACAGTCACCCTGCATCCTCCCTGCTTCATCTCAGTGCAAGGTGACTTGAATTTTACATTAGGGTGAAAGTTAAATAAATCCCTGCATTCATGTCTGAATGTTAATGATTCACAATTGAATATTTCAAGCCTTCCCTCCTTTGCTAGTCTTGGTGGCCCATTGCACATTGTTCTCTTGAAATGTCTATAGTTATGTACTGTAATTATAAATACGAAATAAATACGCCCTTTCAAACAGAGAGATTTTAAACAGCTCTTTTCTTGTCCCACATTGCCTGCTCTGCCAAAGGTGTACAAAGGCTGCATGAATCTAAAGGAAGCTAATTTCTTCCTGCATTATTTTTCATGTCTGCTGGCTCAGTGTGAGCACTTGGTATTGGCATTGTGCTATCAGGCAGGGACTATTGAAAGAGAGTGCTCCAAACTCTGTCTTGTAATCAGCAATAAAATGTGCCAAGTACTTCTATTAGCATAACAACATAAAAATCTCCCTAATCACCAAGGGTAGCTGCCTCCTGTGGCAGCTCTCTGAAATGTGTACTTGGTTACTATGAATTCCGCTTTTCTTAAGAGGTTTTTTGTGGATGTTCTTGTAAACATAGGTGCAATTAAACTAAAAGAACAGTTTCTGAAGGATAGTGGAAAAGCCTCTCTGCTGCTCTGTGTTGTGTGTTAAACCCATAGCCAGAGCTGGGGGTCAGAAAGGATTTTTCCCTTGGGTGAGATTAGTGAGGACCATCTATGTGCCTGTTTCCTTGCTTGCCTGTTCATTTCTGCATTTCTTGCAATGTTGAGGGGCATTTGCTTGCTTGGGAATTTCCACCTTTCACTATTCCTGCTGGTGCAGGACCTAAAGTAGTCTCATTTACTGTGCAATTATGTGTTCTGGGTACTTTTAGCACTGAAATTGCTTCCTTGCTTCCCTGTCCCAAACTCTACTCATACCATCATGTTTCATGTGTGTAGGTAAAATGAAGAAACACTGCTCCTGACACACTGCTACCTCTGCAACCCTAGATGTTTGTTTCTTTGCCCATCCACAAGTCTGATTCCCCTTGTCTCTCCTTCTGAAGTCATCCAGGTTATCAGGATGGGGCATGTGTGCAGGTTATCTGATGGCTTGGCTGCATGTGGCTAAATGCTTCTCTTGCATGAACAGTGTTGTAGTGACAATCTCATGGGTAGTGGTTCTATTCAGCGACGCCTTGGTATCTGCATGGTACTGCAGACAGCCAATGACCTCTTCTAGTGTTTCCACTGTTGGCATGTCCGAACTCTGAGAACAATTTGCATGGCTGGAAGTATTTGGTGGGTTTAGGTGGTTTTCAGGCAATACCTTTTCTGCTTTTGACCCTTTTGAGTGCACTGGGAACAAGACACCCATAGGAAGTAGGGTTCTGGGGGAAGCTGTCTGCTTAACTTCACATTGCCAGACTTGGATGGGCAAGATACCAAGGGGACAGTCCTTGGTATGTGGCCATGGACCACCTCACACTCCTACCAGGTCACTGGGGCAGCAATCCTGAAGGAGTCAGCAGAGCAGTGCTTAATATTTCCAACCTGCAAGTGAATAAATTACTCCTGTCTCTCCTGGTAGTTAATGATTTGGGGCAGGATTCAGCTCCTCTATGGCCAGAGATCCAATTTTTAGGCAAACACACAAGCTGGTCAGCTAGGCTCTCCCTGTATTCTAACTGAAATGGTGTGGAACAACTGCATTTCTGTAGGTGCCTATGTCTATTCCTTGATTATAGAGCATGTCTGCCTGATGAGCTTAGGCTGGAGGCCTGCTTTTCAAATGGCTGGAATTCAAATGAAAGTAATTGCAAGAAATGGGAAGTGTAGAAAGCAAAGGCAGGGTGCTTTCAGCTCAATGTCCTGGGGTGAAAGCTGCCTGTTGCAGTACAGGGATTTAGCCCAAAGTAAGTTAGTAGGAAGTAAAGGGCAGATGGCAGCCAAATAGAATATTATGTGCTGGGTCTCTCGTACTTAAAATAGTATATGACATATTAGAACTAGTTTTGGTGCTTCAGATGTTTAGGAAGATGTGGGCTTATGTATGAAAACACTTTCTAGCTGACAATTCTCAGTGCACTCACTTTAAAAAAAAAAATCAGATTAAAGCAGTAAGAGAAATGGAAAACTCAGAAGCATCATAGACTTTGACAACAATGGAATTCTAACCATGAAAAAGATGCTTGTTGGATCTCTGACTTTTGATTGACAATAAAATATTAACTTGTATATAATTCAAAGGGAGTTTCTCTTCTCTAGCTTGAGTATGCTTATGATTAAAGTATTCATCATGGGAACCTAGTTTTTAACAATTCAGCACTTTGATCAGAGCAATAGAATTGGTTAGTTTTGAGATTTAAGTAAATCTGCTATGCACATAGTGATGACAGGTCTGGTACCTGTCTCTTATTCCCTGTGGAAACCCCTTTTCCTCCTCCCCTCTCTTTCAGAGTAGTATTCCCTGATTTAATTCTTCTGGGACAGAATAGTGCTGCCCTTCTCCCAAGAGATAGGGTAGAACAATCACTGATGTATTGTATGTGGTATGAAAAGGTGTTTGTGTGCGTGCTCCTGTGGGGGTGTGTGTTCTGTGTACATTTCAAACCACCCTTCTGAGGCTTAATTTCCATTTATTCAAGTGTATCTGTATCAACAAGGAAAACATCTTGTTCTGCAAACAAGATGCAGTTTGTGTTCATGTAGCATCAAGGACGCTCTGATCCAGCCAAAAAACCTTGGGTCTAGGAACTGTGTGGCTGTAGTAGGCAGTTTGTTTCCAGATACCTGCTAAGAGGAGTTGGAGCTGTTTCTTGTTTTACTCACTCATGTTGGTACAATTGAAGCAGGAGCAGCTGGAGCATTCCCTTAGCTTGTCAGTGTTAGGTTGTCATTTATACCTGGGTGCTTTTTAGCCTTTTTTAAGGTAATTTGAAGAATTCAGCTGTCATGATAACTCCAATCCTTGACTTCAAATTGTGGTCTAGAAAGGTAAAATCCAGGCAGAAGGAACATATGGTTACAATACAAGTAAAAGCAAGTATATACACAGCCTATATAAAAATAGGGAAAAGCAATGCTCTGGACTTCTTTGGGAGGGTACATAGTTAATGTGCTGTTACCATGTGGAACCAATGGTATGTTAAAAGCCAAATACTGATAGGAGCCTGGCATGCAGGACATTGACTGATAAGAAGCTGTTCAAGCCGCCAAATTTCCCCTCCAGGCTGGAGGGGAAGGAGCAGATCTTGATCTTAAGAGCTAGGGTAGCTTTGTTGAGTCTGGTGAAGTTGCACCATCACAAGATCTACTTCCTTGCTCTGTCTACTGTAGCATGCCCTCAAGATTTTCATTCATATGGTAGATAAAGCATGTCTGTGGGTTCCTTGAGCACAATGAAATGTCTTTGTTATTTAAAACTAACTTTGTAGAAGAGGGCAGAGAGGAGGAGAGAGAAGTCCAGCAAGGGGAAACTTGTTAGTTGTATAATGAGTGACTTGCAAAGCAAAATAGTGGCTTTCATGATGTGTCTGGCCACAGCCCAAATCATCAAGGAGGACAATGCCTGCCAGGGATGCAATGATTTGGATGCATGCACTAACTGGTCACTGCTGTTCTGCTATATGGTAACTTTCCAAGAGGGATAGTGGGAAGGAATGAAGGAAAATTCACCACCAAAGTAAATTATAGTGCAAGTGCCATGAGGATCAGAAATGTCTCTGACAAGGCAGAAAGGAAAATCAGTATTCCTTTAATTGTGGGATAGTCCCAGGAATGCTATTAGAAGCAGAATTCTGTCATCATCACATGTATATAACAAAATCCTGTAGCATTAATTCTTCTGCAATCTGTTTTTTAATGCAGTAGTCCAAAGCTTTAGTTGGTTGTCTAATGGCATAATTTTTATTGGCTCTGATTTTGGTTGAATTGCTTTCAAGAACTGCTGTTGTAATACAGAGAATCACATTATACTGGAGAATCATACTCCAGTAGTGTGCGAAATGAGACCAAAAAATCAAGTTAAAATGTAAAGACAAACAAAATCTGATCAGCAGCACTGCAGAATTGCAGCATTAAAAATGATTTTTGTTGAAATTCTATTATTTGTTTAAGAACCTGCAAACAA